CTCAGATTCATCTATGGCATCCGCAAGTACGATCCAGTATCGCACATGTTGATACCCTCGAATTGGTTGAAAATGCAAGATCGGCGGAAACTTCACTTCCTAGTTCTGTCACACTCTATAATTCATAAACAGAGTCCTCCATATCTGTATGATAAAATAACATATAGAACTGATGTTCACAATCTGAATTTACCGCATAGGGGTCGCATCACTCTTCCACCTTATAGAACCACCTTATTTCAAAGAAGCTTATCCTATAATATTTACAAAATGTTTAATGAATCACAACCTCCACTCAAGCAAATGAAGAAAGTCTTTTGGCTACATATATATAACTCTTCTCACGAGCATCAAAGCAGTGTTCTTTTTCATCTTTTAATCCGTTATCAACTTGACGAACAGTTCAGATTATAATTGTTTTTCTTAGTCTGGGGCTGAACTAGAACTTTTTCAAATTGTTTTCAGCTCCATTTTGCATCATATTGTATTTAAAGTTGCAGTGAAAATGTTTTTTTTGTTTGATGCAAATAAATATTATTATTATTATTATTATTATTATTATTATTATTATTATTATTATTATTATTATGCACCGATGTCTCTGTGTTTTGAGTCCCGTCAGGCGGTGTTCTGTGGTTCATGAAATTTTGACATGAATGGAAACATATAATTAACCTCACTAAAATTCCGATATTAGAAAATTAGAAAATCGAAGGAAAAGGAAAGATAAATAGAAATTGAATCTGTTGTACCGATTTTCGTCATCACAAAACACCGGGTGTCCGAAAAAACTAATTATCATTTTTTTTTTCAATATGTGATCAGAATATGTAGGGCTGTGGTAGTTTTGGAAAGAACTAGTGACACATAATCATTGGAGTACTTGAAGAATATCTGTATTGATTTTCAGCATTCAAATATACAACATGTCTGAGAAAAAAAATCGAAATGATAAGTGAGCAATATTTTTCATCATGGTAACTCACTTCACTCAGAATATAATCATGAATTGTGAGTCAGGATCACTTGAGACACACTTGTACCGATTTTCATCATCATCAAACACAAGGTGCCGCAAAAGTTTGCTACTTTTTGTGAAACTGACCATACTGCAGACAAAATCTTAATAGCCCAAATAGTCCAAATTGAAAATGTTGCATTTTGACCCCCCTTCCTCCCTTTCCCTATATCACAGCTATCTTTCAACTCATAAAAAATGTGAAAACTTTCACCTATACAGCTTTCAACGTAGAATCCAGTGGCGAAGTCGGATTTTCAGAATGAGCTGTTATTTTTTGGATTTATTCAACTCAAATATGAATCAAATATTTTGATTCTACTTGGAATACGTTGATATTGAAATATATTAACTATTTCGGGATTCAATTTAGGTCATCTTCTCAAGGCTCCAATAATCCTGCCATGATGTATCATCAATCCAGATACCAAGATATTTCATCTGAGAAGTTTGTTTCAACTGCAAATTTTTCATTTCTATATTGAAGTCGATAATCTGTGTTCTTGTTCAGAAATCATCCCTGATAGCACGTAACGTCCTAGAGACGTCCGTATCCAGTACAATTCAAATCCGAATGCTTCGGATCTATTATAATTGACCTTATTGGGACGTCCGTCGTCCCTCCAGTACATCTCAAGCAATGTCAGAGCAAGTATGTCTATGGAAATTTTTAGCTGGGAAATAATTTTAAATATCATCTTCCAGACGACCCACGTGAAACAACATATTGTAGAATGTCCAATCAAGAACGTCTTTAGCATATCCTTGATGTGATTTCATTCCAAAAGTTTCCTGAGGGACATCCAACGGATGTCCGTCGTATGTTCCAATTCGTAGAGAACTCCAGAAGGAACAGGGAACATGAGATGTCATGATCACAACGTCTCATGGACGTCCCAAGGGTGCCCTCAGAATGTGCTGAATAGATTCGGAATGAGTCCTAAGGGACATCCGAATAAACGATAGACATCCGTTTAGGGACATTCACTGGACATTCTGGACGTGAAGATTCAAATGGATGATGGACGTCCATTGGACGTTATTTGTACATCCTTAGATCGCATCGAAATATACCTCGATTCATTCCATTTGCCATCCGATTAGTTCTTAGCATTCGAATTTCGGGTTTATCATATTCTTAATAGTATGTGATAATATATGAAGGAAAAACAATTTTGAAGACAGCGAAATTTTTGGAGCGGTACCTACTCCATTCGCATTGAAAAAGCGAAATATGCCCTCTTGAACAAATATTTTATTCAGAGTAGTGAATACGGCTCAGCATTCAATGGTTTCATGCAATTGAATAAGTATTTCAAATCATTATAAGTTCGAGGTGTAATCTCATTTTCCATTAGAAATTTTTCATTTACCAATATTCCGAACATGAGCTCGCAAGAAGCATAATGGCCAGTGAAGTAGCGTGCTTGCTTGATAAGCAGAAAATTGCAGGTTCGAATCCCGAACGTCACCAATTATATGTTTCACTTTTGAGATATGTCCATCACCTAGTCGAAATGGATATTTATTGGATGTCCCTCTGGACATAGTCGAATGTTGATGAATACAATAGCACCAGGAGATCAGATAAACATTCTATCAAGAGGTCTTCCACATGAGCGAATGATCATTTTTTTTTCAATGTCCTAGGAATAACGTCCTGTGGATGTACTAGTCGGTACAAGACATGGCCACCTCTGTTATAATCAACCCGAATGCACCGATCTGATCAGAGATTCGCAGGAATGGCACCCGAATCTAGAAAGTTTTTATCAATAACCACTTGTTATACGCTGTCATGGTCTTGGCTCATTATTGAAAATAGTGCTTTCATATAGACGAAAGGACCATATTTCGGTTTCATGAAACTTAAATGGTTGACATATATTGCTAGTGGTGAAAAAAAACTTATATAAACTTTGGTAGATAAGAATATCATCACCACGGGATCTTATACCCCTTGGCTGAAGTCCCGGGATATATTCTTGGTCCCAGGGAAATGATGATATCCTTCACTACCTTGGTGTATGGAACCCTAGAAGAAATTGTGTTCTCTGGAACTGCGTTGGAAATATGAGACAAAGGTAGGTTAACTAATGCCGATTGAAATTCAAACAGTTGAAAGACACGACAGGATTATTGAATGTACTAGAAATGTTCGGAATGCATTCTTCCCTAAACAATACTCCTATTGTGTCTCTCAATAAACGAATACATTCCGACTGCATGAAATTCTTCAATTCTTCCAATTCCAACTGTCATCAGTACGCCTACCTTGATCCCGACTTCCTCTTCTCAACCCATTAGTGCATGAAGTTGCTTTTTTCCAAATCTCTATATTTTGAAGGTGTGAACTCATTCATTATACCCAAAGAATGGTAACTTATGACGAATATTTCTTTGTTTACAACAGATTTTTTTATATGACACGTCCATTTTAATGACATACATATTGGTTCATCGAGAATAGGAAAATCGAAAATTCCGTATTTATTTATATTCAAGTACATATATGCAGAACATAGAGAAACTCGATATCATCTTTTATGACAATAATATCAATAAAAATGATGATAGTAATGATAAAATTGATAATGATCACTTGATAGATTCGAGTTCACATTTTTTTATTCAACAAAAATATTTGACATTGATACATCTCATTCGTGATATTTTCACTCCGAAAAAGCCAAAAGCCATCAGCTTAACATGGATATAGTTTCTGTTTTGAAATCATTTGGGATGATAATTTTAGACCATTTGAGGTGTTCTCCACAAGATACTATGGCGGGTCATATGAACCCGCTTCCCGCTGAACAAAGAGTAGTCGGACGAGTGGATGGAGTCGTGACTATAGTAGAAGTATTGACATATAACAAGGAATCATTTGGTGCCATCAATTATTATATTCTTTTTTATGATGAAACACTGTACATCATGTACTAATGGGTTAACGTATTTTCACAAATTAATCTTCTCAGATTTTGATCATCTCCCCGACTTTGATACATGCCTTTGCTCATCAAGCCATAAACTCATGGTCCATCTATTGACTTCCACTATGACTCATTTTATTGTCTTGTCTACGTCATTTGTATCAATAAATATTCTGAGTTTCCTAACTCTTCATTCAGGGAATCGCTTTGGCAATCGCCCATCATATACTACTTCCCTTCATTATATTTTTTTCATTATCTTACGCATTCTCAGGTAACGGGGCCTTTTGATACATGAGCTTTCGACTTCGGGCATCGGCAGGTATACATTAATTAGTTAACAATATAATTTTCTTAACTCCAAGTGGGTCAACCAATAACCTACTATTTTTTCTCCGATTCCAATCTTTATTGTTCTGTAGACATTTTGATTAGGCTGAGAATGATATTTTCTAATTTCGAAACATGTCCATGATTGTCTAACAAGGTCATCAAATTGTGTGACGATGACGTTCCCTTCCTTCTTTTAGTATGAATTCAATTTGATAGTTGAAAAAATATCGTGTGCTTTATGTGAAAAAAGTATATCCCTTGCACTAAGCATGATTGCAGCTCTTAACATCGCATCAAGGTGCAAACTTCATGGGAAATGCAGACAACATGTAGTTTTTACACAACTTCCACAAACAACTATTGATCACATTGTTTTTGAACGAAATATCGATTCGACCAACAAAGTGTATGTTCATTGACGAGACTCGACTGAAACTATGAAATCGCATCTGAAAACGAGACAATTTTTCACCCATTTCAGATTATATTTTTTTTCAAAATCGAGATTAACATCTGATTATCGGGATTATGAAGGGAGTTATGTTGGAGTAGATAATCCTCGAGGAAGTTTCGACCTATAATACAGATTGCATTGCGTAGGAAAATTATTAGATTAATACTATTCAGAGATTGGGATAATTTCCGTTCGAATGAATAATCTTGATCAACAATAATTTAACTCATTTTGGATAGTGGAATGATATTATTCTTACCGCAGCAAACAGAGTTATCAGATGATGCACCAAATCTTCATTATTCATTATATCCTGATTATTCTCGACCACCTCAAGAAGCCGATCTATAGTTGGAACAAATTGTTCAGTCACTTCAGTCTTCGTAATTTTTCTCCTCTTCCATGAATCGATGAGTGCCTGGAAAGTTCAATTATTTCGATACATATTATATTTATATAGTATAAGACTTTTTATCATTCATCATATCGCAATTATTCTTGACCACTACGAAGAACAGATTCATAGTTAAAACCAATTGTTCAGTCACTTCATCCTTATTAATTTTTATTTTATCTTGAGGATGAGAAGTTCTCTTTTAATAATTGTGCTTTTCGAAAACAGATGATCTAGAGATCATAAATGAACTATGGATCTCACATGAAACAAGTTCTACATATTAATCTACAGAGCCCTTCTAGTCACAAGTTTTGACGAACATATCGCAAATAATAGATGTCGCACTTATCAAACAATGCATGAAGCAGTATTATGTGACATCGAATAGCCCTGCTTCTATCTGATACGGATAATCACTGATTAGAAAATTAGGTTGGTGGAAACTCACTAGTTCTGTGAGTAACATTATTGAATATTATTCGGGCTTGAGCCTTCCACGCATGAAAATGCCTGAAAATGTATCTAGGAAGAAAAGTTTCCACCCAATCAAGAACCCTAGGCCTTGCGGAGTTTTGAACTCTTGGAAGAAATTTCGAGAACCCGAATCCAGAAAACTGCACCAACCCATAGGTAGAGAGAAAGTCAGCTGAGCTTCAGAGAGAAAGATGCTGCCTCAGGGTCTCATGAGATGAATTACTCCTAGTGAAATAATTCAACCAATACACACCAGGAGATTCGACAAATCATTGAGATCACAGCAGGCAACTGAACTGTTCCAATGCAAATTGTTCGAACAAACTTCCATTAATATTGCACAAAAATTCTAGTTACGATTGCTTGACTCACAATATGGGAGGAGATTTTTCCGTGAAGTATTCGTTTCCGGAATGGAATCTTCACGGATAACTCAACAACAATGTGATTAATTCTGAATTCACTACAGTTTGATAAAATCTCCATGATAGGTATGTATCTGCTGGACCTGTTGCAATTGACTCAGCTATTTGGGAGTCAAATTCTCGGGGCAAGGTTAGAGAAATAGAGGGAATTGAACTCATAGGCCAATGAAACAAAATAAATTTATGTAAGCATTGGTGAATTTGATATTGGAAGGTTCGAGTAAGATAATAGAATTCCATTGATAGCTCAAATGATGGAAAGAGAATTTTCATTTTTTGTTTACTTGTTCTAATCGTTGAATCAATATATTCAATATATTCCCTAGCTGAGGATCAACAAATATCTTAGGTTTATCTTATTTTCATTGGCATAATGATGATTCAATGCGACATTAAACAATAGAGCAATTAGTGTGTGAATGTTGATAATATTTCCTGGGATAACCATCGACTCAATCTCTTGAAAGAAATCGAATCTAACTGTTTTACTTGTGAAACGGAACATTTTCTAATTGATGATAACCACTGTTTCCTTACGAAACTGAACTCAATTCATCGAAACAAGTAATGAAATTTGTCATAACGACTCCGGAATTAAGAATGTTATTTGATTGATATGAAACTTAAATTGAATACAGACCATGCAAGAACTATTATCATGACTTGAATACCATTGTTTCTTCGAGAAGCACACTCTCCAATTGTTCATAGCATGTGGAGAAGTTTTTCGACAATGTGTGAGAGCATATTTCCATTTCATTTTAGAGAGAACATTCATTCATATATCTGATTGATAATATCTCTTTCTTCTATATTAATCGATTCAACTGATTTGAGAATCATCAGGAAGGATCCTAGATGAAAGACTACATGAAAATTGCGAAAGGTATCAACATTTCTCAGATGCTATTTACATCCTATCTGGGATGGGTGAGGTCATAAATGATCGGGTTATAATCAGATTATTCAGCATTCGTAGGGAAAAACTCACAGGTCTATGAATGTTTCGCCTCATTACTCTTTCCATTCGATAATATACTTCTGAAGCATATCTAATGAATTACGGTAATGTTCTCTAAGTCTATTAAAATATGAGAATGATGATTTCAATAAAAAAACTTGCAATCTATAATACATTGAATGCTCACCTCCTGAATGAAGTCCTTCAGATCAGCATGAACCGCGTCGCTTTTGGTTTTCAAGGATAATCGGTTGTAAATGAAATCAGGCTGAAGCCACACTTTCGTCATTCTAGCGTATGCCAAATCATACATACTGAAAAATAAATCCTTTGAAACCAGATTTATTCATTCGATATATGAAGGTAGGTATACTAAATCATCCAACTTTCATAATATAGAGAAACTAGATTCAATGTACGTTTGGTTTGAGCAGATGATGGGTATGTACAGGGTGGCCATTTGAAAACGAAACAGAGACTCTGTAGGTCGCCAGAACTGGATTATATGAAGAATATGTAACGTCAGCTATATTTTCGGGGGGGGGGGGCATCGCCCTAAAATATTTTCAGCGCTGCGGCGTTGCAGCTCCTATCGAGAAGTAGCAACAACTTTTTTATTCCAATAAGAATACCCTGTATTTCATTGCATTTTTAGATCCTACCTGAAAAGAAGGTGGTTCAAGATTCAGAATTACGTTTTAATCAAAAGTCAGCTGCGCAGTTTTGAACAACAATGAATAGTTCCGACACAAAAGAATCCTGAATTTGAAAAGTCCCGATTTTGAATTCCCTAAATCTCTGTAATCATTTCTGCTAGGCTCCAAGTGGGATATTGATGATCAGCTCTCCAGGGAAGATCTGAAAGTGCACTGATCATTCCTGCCAGACCACAAGTGTCATATAGGTGATTAGCTTTTCAGGAAAAATCTGATCTTGAGGGTATTCTATCTGAAGATGCAAAGTTGCTGTCACGTTCCGAAAAAAGCGGCAACGCCGCACCATTGAAAATATTCTGAAACGATGTCTTCCTCGAGAATGTAGTTGACGTTTTTGGGTGTTTTTCTATATATCTATAAGTATGCATTTGAGAATTAGAATTTGACATTTGGTCCTCCTAGATGATGGATTTTAAATTGTAAAGCATAATATATACATAATTTTATTTAATATTGTGAAATTCATTGTATATTTTATCCCTGTTAGATCTTTTTTCTTTCTCTGAATGTCATTTTGACGTCTTGTGGCTTTGATATTACGACGCCATTATAGGGTCTCTAGGACGTCATTTTAGGACGGCCACTTCGTCATTTCATGACTAGAAAATGATGTAGATTGGACGTCATTCTGCTACCTGAATTTCAGATGAAAATATCCACGAATCAGTCCGTACCACAGTTATTATCTTCCTCAATTCACGATGAAACGGTATATGATCCAACAATTATAATTATGATTCAAGTGATAAAGTTCAACAACAAATACAAGTAATAGGATGAAATACTAAAATGTTCCTGTACCTATTCAAATCACAAGAAATTATAGGGACTTCCTTTCGTGCGCTCCAAGCGATAAAAAAAACAACACAGTAAATTCCGCCATCTTGTCTTGAGAAAGTGCCTTCAACGATCGATCACCGATCACCTTGCCAATAGTCGTAGAAGTCGGATACTTTGATTATATCTATATCGAATTATCAGGTATGAAATGTATACTTTAAATAATCCAATAAATGAACTATATACAATTTTAAAATCACAAAATCCTGTTTCTGCCAAGATTTCTGCTTATTTTTCATGGAAAATCGTTTCGAGTTATGTCCACACGTACCTTTGTCCCCGATAGTATAGGGATAAGATTATCAGTTCAGTAGTAATAAAATCCATAGTCGATGAGTTGGAACGTTGATGAGTTGGCTCGTTGACGAGTTGAATGGTTGATGAGTTGGGTCCTTGATGAGTTGAGTGGTTGATGAGTTGGGTCAATAATGAGTTGAGTCGTTGATGAGTTGGGTCGTTGATGAGTCGGTGCGTTGATGATTTGATGCGTTGATGAGTTGGTGCGTTGATGAGTTGTATAGTTGATGAGCTGTATCGTTGATGAGCTATATCGTTGATGAGTTGGGTCGTTGATGGGTTGGATCGTTGATGAGTTGGGTCGTTGATGAGTTGGGTCATTGATGAGTTGGGTCATTGATGAGTTTGGTCGTTTTTGAGTTGTTTCGTTGATAAGTTGGCTCGTTGATGAGTTGGGTCGTTGGTGAGTTCTGTGTTGATGAAATAGGTACGTTGATGAGTTGGATCTTTGATGAGTTGGGTCGTTGACCAGTTGGGTCGTTGACAAATCGGGTGTTGATGAAATGGATACGTTGATGAATTGGGTATTGATGGAAAGGACGCGTAGAGAAGTTGGGTCGTTGATGAGTTCGATCGATGATGAGTTGGGTATTGATGAATTTGGTGTGTCGATGAGTTGGGTCGTTGATCAGCTCGGTCGGTGGTGAGTTGGGTCGTTGATGAGTTGGATCGTTGATAAGTTGGATCGCTGATGAGTTGGATTGTTGGTGAGTTGGCGCGTTGATGAGTTGTATCGTTGATGAGTTGTATCGTTGATGAGTCTCATCATTGATGAGCTGTATCGTCGATGAGTTGTGTCGTTGATGAGTTGGGGAGTTGATGAGTTGGGTCGTTGATGAGTTGGGACGTTGCTGAGTTGGGTGTTGATGAGATGGGTCCGTTGATGAGTTGGTTGGGTATCGTTGAAATGGGAGTTGGTGAGTTGTCCGTTGATGAGCTGGGGTCAACCATTGTGAAAAATTGATTACGTAGACACATAGGAGATTAACATTTGTACATTTAAATTCAACTGTTACTTATTTTGCTGTAGATTTAAAAATTCAAAATTTGGTTGAAAAAAAATTGATTTCCGCAAGTCATATTGCTGACATTCTCCAAATTCTTCGAATTCTTTCAGGTTAGTCATGTCTGTTTCTTTCTTTTCACACAATAGAGGATTTTTGTATGTCGACTGACAGGTGTGTTATCATGGTTTATAACTATTGAAGTTTTCAGATGATTTATGAAAGAGAAGAAGAAGAGATTGTTACTATGTCCATAAGTATAATGTCCGCTAAGGTTGAGAATTTGTTGAGAAACGTCAACATTGAGAAACTGTAAATTTCGACAAGGATGGAACTACACACACGGGCACAATTAGGGAAACGGACAAAATTCACACTAAGTTTTACATCAATTTTCTCTCGAACCGATCGCTCGATTTAAATTTTTTCTCCACGAATTGTAACTATATTCATCACCAATACATCTGAGAAATAACCACCTTCAAGCGATTCGTCTTCTTATCATATACAGGGGTGCAAAGAAAGTACGGATTTTTCGGTATTTTTTTAGACATCCTGTGGAGTGAACCACTGATAATTGAGACGATTTCTCAACAACAAATTGTAGCTCAATATATTCCGAATATTTTTGTTATTTGTTCATTCTTATATATCAATTATTCAAGAAAATACAGAGTTTCAAAGGAAAGGTGAATATTGGTATCAATTTTACCACCTCGAAACTCGAATTGGATCTGAAAATGTGTCGTTTCTTACGTTGTTTCTAAGATAATTTCTCCTTCAAGTTGAATATTGCTCTATTTTCACTTATTAGTCTATTGTGACAAGATTTCTTAGAAATATACAGATATGATTAAAAAGAAATGTAATTTTCTCAAAGCCTTTATTCAATAACAATAACAATTACTCAACAAACAATAAGGATTCAAAACACCAACAATAATTTCAATAACGTGCGTGACGTTCACGCGCTCTTATTTCAGCAGTCGTCCGTCTGCTCATGCTTTCGATGACCTTATCGATCATTCTTGAGGAAGATTATCCCAAATCTCAACCAGAGCAGCTGCTACTTGCTCGGGATTCTGTACAGCGGGAATTCTGGACCTTAATCGTCTACCCAACATGTCCCATGAATGTTCGATTGGATTAAGCCACGTGAGGGCGGGCATTATCGTGCAGTTACAAGAAGTTTTCACCGATATGGGGGGCGGATGGTATGACATGCTGTTGAAGAACATTTCGTATATAGTCATCTGCATTTATAGCGCCATTAACCACTACCAACTCTGCTCGTGCCTCTAAACATATTCCACCTCAAACCATGACTGAACCTCCGCAGCCATAGGAGACAGTAGCAGTAAAATTAAATTGTTCGTTTCGTTCACCTCGGCGGCCATATAGTCTTTCCCTGGGATCTATTGAATTGATGCAGAAGCGGCTCTAACGTTGGCCCACTGGTCATTTTCCCAATTTACATGCTGCCTAGCGAAGCTGCGTCTTGCCACTCGATGACGTCGCTGGATTTGTGGCGATTTCTTCGTTCTATAGGCCCTTAGACCAACTTCTTGAAGCCTTCTGCTGATAGTCCGACGTCTTATTCGTCTCCAACGTACTTCTCCCAGTTAGTTTTCCAATTGGGGTACGGTTGTACGTCTGTTTCATAGTGTTTGGGAGACTAAAGATCGGTCATCTCTAGCCGTGGTTGACCGTTTTCTTCCTTGGCCTCGTCTCCTCACGTACTCTGCTGTTTGTCTCCAAATTTCTCACATCCCGATAAATCGTAAATTTTGATTTTTTCAGCATGTCAGCAACATCAGTGTACGATCCGAGGTACGATCTACCATTTTCATTTGATGCTACAGCCCTCGCCACATCAATAGGATTCAAATCTCCCATGTTGAATTTTCATTAATCAAATTCATGAATTTTGAATTGTGTGAAAATGGCCCCTGCATATTCATAAGAGTATTCGTACATGTGTCTCCAAACAGCGAACCGATAGGTGAAACTGAACAATTTTATTCATCTTGAAGTAAATATTGTCACAGAAATAAGTTGGAAAACGACACGTTCCTATCCCCAGGTCGAGTTTCGTGGTGGTAAAATCAATACCAATATCCGCACCTTTCCTTCGAAACCCTGTATTTTCTTGAATAATTGAGGTATCAGAATGAATGAAAAACAAGAATATTCGGCATAGATTGGCCTACAATTTGGTGTTGAGAAACCGTTTCAATTATTAATGGTTCACTCCACAGGATGTCTTGGAAGAATACCAAAAAATCCGCACTTTTTTCGTCAACAAATAAGAACGGCTGTAGGCCATACCTCAGCAACGAATTATGATACGAAATCAGATGTCACGGTATGCATATCATTACAAAATGCAATAGATAAACTAAATCCCAACAGACCAATGAAAACTGCAGCATGATAGCTTTTCGCTGACGGAAGATA